ATGGTTGCAGTAATATCCAAAAGCTTTTGAACATAGAAAGATTCTAGTTTTCTGAAATTTTCACCAAAGCCTTTTTGCTGCATGAAATCTCATATTTTTGGATTTAACTCCCAACAGTTAAAATCCACTTCATCTCCTCCCAAATGAATGATGTGATCTTACTAATTCCTCTGAAAAATGTATCAAATAAGATATAAATTGTATTGGGAATGGGGTTTATAGGTCCGAAAGTGTTCAACTGTTTCTATTTAGAGTAACATGGGGTCAGGAGGGCTTCCTGACTTTTTCCCCAAGACACCGTATGTCCAGAGGTATCAAATTCCAGTAAGACTCGAATCCCTCATAATCTGGCATATTCAGTCGTCATGCGGACGTTATTTGATGTATAAACACGAGATGAAGAATAGCTTAACTCAGGAAAAGTGATGCTCTGACAAGGGAAAGACTCGTCATCAACTATGTGCCCGTAAGTTTAAGAACATTAAACTTACTGACAGCCATGGCATCCAGGGTTTTAAGAATAACCTTAAGTGGCAAAGCGCCTGGATGTATCAGTTAGAATTGGTCTGTGAGAAAACCTTGGCGAGTGGACAATGTTGGAGTCACTGACGGGAAAAGCACCATAGGGATCTCGGTAAATCAATTAGCTATCGGGGTCTAAACCTCCTCAATGCTCCCCGGACTCTTTTGCCTTCAAGAGCCACAGGTTCTTTCACAAGTAAGGAACAGGATTCATCTGAAGACACGCTGGGAAAGCATCACACTGGGACTCAAGGACAACTGAGACGCGAAGTTGCTTTACCTGTGCTCCACCCTCAAGTTTCGGAAGCCACCGAGGCGGCTTGTAAACACCAAAAATATATTCATAAAATCGCCAAAATGCTTCCTCCAGAAGGGAGTAGGAGGGACAGGCCTTGGAATTGGGACCGCGGTTGATGTAGAAGTTCTCAGGGGCGAGGCACAGCTGAGTGCTGGTCACTGTCACCGAGAGTGGCAGGGGCCCGAGCGTCAGCCCCGCCTGGCCTGCGCCACCAGCGCCCGCAGCACCTGCAGCCGGGGCGGCCCCAGCCCATGACCCCCCAGGGCCCATCGCCTCCTCTCAGCCCCAATTTGAATATTCTTTATTGCTTTCTCTTGCCTCATTGCTCTGTCTAGGACTTCCAGCATTCACTGAATAGCAGGGGTGACACTAGGCGCCCTCGTGCCTTATTCAAGTTCTTAGCAGGGATGCTTTCTTTCAACTTTTCCTCAGTCAGTATGATGTTGGCTATGCGTTTGTCATATATGGCTTTGATTATTTTGAGATAAATTCCTTCTATGCCTAGTGTGCAGAGGGTTTTTATCTTGAAAGAGTGTTATATACTGTCACATATTCTCTCTGCCTCTATTGAAATAATCATACAGTCTTTGTTGCTGCTTCTGTTGTGGGATGAATCACATATATTCATTTGTGTATGTCCAGTGACTACTTGCATCCTTGTGATGAAGCCCCCTTGATCATGGTGTATTATTTCATTGACATGCTACTGGATTCTGTTTGCTAGGATTTTATTGAGGATTTTCGCATTTACATTTATAAAGGATGTTTGTCTGCAGTTTACTTTTCTATTGCATCATTTCCTGAACCTACAAAAAAGCCTGCCACCTGCTCAGCCCTGACTCCCATTAAGAAGAGCCAAATAGCAAACAGAATACCAGAACTAAAAAAATCATGTCTGTAAAGGACTTGATAGCAGATTGAAATATGGGTCAATATATTTTGAAGAGGATCTGTAGAAAGTATTCAATTTAAAGAAAAAAATCAGAAAAATGTAAACGAAGTCTGAGTGAGCTGTGAGACAGTATAAAGTGATCTAGCACCCATTTAATTGAGTTGAGTTCCCAAACAGAAAAGAGAGAGACTAGGACCAGGGTAGTATTTAAAGAAATAACTGTTAAAAGCTTTCCAAATTTGGTTACAAATATGAATCTACATGTCTTATGTATCTATGAAGCTCAGAGAACATCAATATAACAACAAACAAGTCCAGTCATCACAGGCTAAGTGCAGAAAACCAAAAATAAAAAGCTATTCTTAAAACCAGTAATTTGAATCCTATCAGATAACAATGAATGTCAAATGGGCAAAGAAACAGCAATTTTTCAAAAGAAGATAGACTGGCGGCCAAAACACATATGAAGAAGTGCTCAACATTTCTAACTATCAGGGAAATGGAATCAAAGGAACAACGAGATATCTCCTAACTCCAGTGAGAACGGCTCTATTGAAAAGTCTCAAAACAACAAGTGCTGACATGGTTGCAGAGAGAAAGCAATGCTCATACCCTGGTGGTGGGATGGGAACTGGTATAACCTCTGTGCAAAGCAGTACGGAGATACTTCATAAAACGAAAGGTAGACACACCATTTGGTTCAGCAATCCCCCTACTCTGTATTTACCCAAAGGAATAAAAGACATTTGATTAAAAAAAGACACTTACACTTGAACTCTTACTGCAGCACAATTCACAATTGCCAGGATGTGGCAACAACCCAAATACCCATCAATACATAAATGGCTAAATAAAATGTGGTATATATTATACACACCATGGAGTATTATTCACCCCCAAAATGGTGAACTAATACCCATTGTAACAACCTGGATAGAACTGGAGACCATTATTCTAAGTGAAGTATCATAAGAATGGATAAACATACAGAACATGTACTCAATACTAAACTGGACCTATTAGATGAACATTTAGGCACACCTATGGAAGTTAAATTCAATAGAAATTAAGTAGGTGGGAGGGGAGAGGTGGTGTTGGGTAAATTCACACCTAACTGGTATAATAGACACAGGCTCTGGGTTAAGGGCACATTTATACATGGACTCAAAATATACAAAAGCAAATTATGTAACCAAAACTGTGTACCCTTGTAATATTCTGAAACTAAATAAATAAAGGGACGTCAAAATTGGGAGTGAAAGAAACATTTGTCCACACAGAATTCTGTATCCAGTAAAAATACCAATAAAAAATCCATAGGAAGTAAAAATATTTTTACATTAAAAAAGGTCAAAGACTTTTTCTCTAGCTGTTCTACACAATAGTAAATAAGAAAGGAAATTCTAGCTTGAAGGAAGCAGCACGAGATAAAACTTAGATCTACAAGAAAAAAAAAGCACAGGAAGTTGTGTTTATGTAGGTAAATATAAAAGCTGTTTTTTACTTTCAGTTTCTATAAGACAACTGACTCCTAAGGCAAAAATAATAACATTTGGTTGTGTAGATTATAATTTTTATGTATACATAGGCCTGAGGAAGTGTTTACTATTGCAAATTTCTTAATTTTATGTAAAGTGGTGCAATATTAACTCAGACTGTGGCAACATCACAATGATCATGAAAAAAGAAGTAATGATATAATAATAATACGACTCGGGAGCAACAGGGAAACTAAGGGAATTAGTACAAAAATTAATGAATTTGTCATATCTGGAAGTGTTTAGGTTGTAGTTCCTCAGATCAGGAATTTTAGAAGGATATGGGATTTAAATCATTCCCTTTCTGCTCAATGGTGTGTGTTGGGGTATGTGACATACTTTCAATGCTTGGGGGGGGGGGAGTTGTTTCATTTTTTTTTTAGAGACAGAGTCTCACTTTGTCGCTCTCCTAGAGTGCTGTAGTGTCATAGCTCACAGCAACTTCCAGCCCTTGGGCTTAGCCAATTCTCTTGCCTCAGCCTACCAAGTAAGTAGCTGGGACTACAGGTGACCGCCACAACACCCGGCTATTTTTTTGTTGCAGTTTGAACCCGCCACCCTCGTTATACGGGGCCGGCTCCCTACTCACTGAGTCGCAGGCGCCGCCCAATGCCTTGTTTTTTAATCCCCCAAAGCAGTGTCAGAAGACATGTTTTGCTCTTGAAATATTTGGCGTCTTTCACGCGGCTAATATAGATGTTTACATTCCGAAGTTCAATTTCTTGACCCCTTTAATGAATTTAAAACAATGGCAATACCTAGCAAGTACTATTATATTTTGCTGTAGTTTTGAAATCAACTTCTTTGTTTTACGATTTCAATACAACACTATATCTACATTGGAGCAATGTCCCATGCAATTATCACTGAGAAAAACAATATGATTTTTTCGGGTTACTATTCCCACAGGAATACTAACAAATAACATGCACATAAAAGAGAGTGGAAAGTTCTAGAACCACATTCCTACATGTCCTCCCCTAGCCAAACTCCTCGCCCAGTGGAGTGCTGCCAAGTACTCCTCCAGCTTAATCAGATTCACTTCTGTCCAGTTCTGATTCCTGCAGTCATTTAGTTTCCCCTAATTCCTGCTCCCCCACCCCCAATTAGGTACTATTCGGTAATATGTGCTTCTCCCCGGCATATTACCCAATCCCATCTGTGTGCAAGAAGTATTTTTACTTAAGGAAATTTATTAACAAATGTCATTTTTCTCCCCATGTCAGAAAACAGAGGCAACACCGCCTGCCCCCCGCCCAAGACCAAATTGCTGTCTTCCCAGCCTGTGAAAAACAGAATTCCTTGGCCCCGGGCCTGAGTGTTTCCCGGCAGCTCTACATTGCCAAGGCCAATTCTCCAAGCCAGTGAGTGGTCTCGGGGGTGAGAGCAAATGCAAATTTAATCGGCTGTTGAGGGGAAAAAAGGGTTTTTGGTTTGGTTTTGTTTTGTTTTACTTGTTTTCTTCTTGTTCTCTTTAACCCCAGTAATCCCCTATCAAAGCTCCTTCTCCCTAGACCCTGCCTGTCTCCGATGAGAGGTAACCCTGTGCTGACTCTTACCCTTTCCTTTCATTTCCTATCAGAGCGGTGACAACCCTTTTTCCATTTCCCTTTGCCCCTTTCGCTTTTGAATTTCAGCCAATATCAGGGTGCTCCACCCTCTCCAGGGAGGCTCAGTGGCTGCCCGGACGCCTTTTCAGCTGGTGTGGGCGGGTCCGAAGCTTGGGAGCCGCGGGGAGTGTTTAGCCAGCCAGGGGACCCCCCTCTGGATCCTGTGACTCCGTTTCCTCGTTGAGTTTGATGTATTTAATTCGAAAAACCCTCCTCTTGGGTCTCACTCTCCCACTCCTCTTCTTTGCCTTTTCTCGGTGGATACAATTAGACCCTGCTTCTGGTGTCGCCGGTACCCAGCGGTCTGCCGGGCGGGCGGTGAGTGGGGCGCGACGCGAGGGATCCAGTGCGGGGCTGGGGGCGTCGTGGGGAGAGGCCTGGGGCTGCGGAACCGGCGGGACGGGGATGGAGGGTCTCTGCGTCCCGGGCTGGCTGAGCCGCGCTCCGCATCCTCAGGTGGTTGGAGAAGTCTCCGGGTGCGCACCGCGCCTGCATGTTTGGTAGCGCGCAGTTTCCAGCCCTGGGGTAGCCGTCGTTGATCTGCCCAGGAAACTGGGGTTCCTTGCATCTTAATTTGTCCGTCCGTGGTCCGGAATGAAGACTGTTGGAGAGATTCACTCTGTCCGAAGCCATGAGCGCCCTAGGACCAGTGGATGCTTTCTCCAAGTTTGCCCTTGTCCCTTGAGTGTTTCCCTGGCAGGTCCCGCCTGATGGGGCTGCTCTTGGGTCTCTAACTGAATTTTGAGACCTCGGTGCTGCTTTCACGGAATCAGGCCTGGCGGCTCGCGGGTAAAAACGGGTTAATGAGAACTTCTTCACGTGGCTGTTGGCCAGAGAGGGGTGACAGAGGGACCTATCTCTCACATTGTCAGTTAGGGCAAAATGGGGTGATTTAGGGCTGTGCATGCTTTTTTCTGTGTTTTCTTTTTCTAAAAATATGACTTTCATATCTCAAGACAGTTTATTTTTTCCTTTCATTTGAGGCCTTGTTTATTGGCTCATGATCTACAATTTAATTTTATAGGTAGATTTCCCAGGTGCTACGTATAAGGGGTACGGATTAATAATTGCAATTGCATGCTACTTATAATAGGAACAGATAGATAACCTCTGTCTGTCCATCAGCGTGGAGGTTAATAGTGAACCATTACCATGATTTGTTTTTAATTTGAAAAAGACTAGAATGGTTGTGATCACACAGGGTTGTGAATGGTATGGGACAGTGATAGCAGGGAGGGGAACATAACACCTTATGCATGATGTGACTGTATATTTTAAATACTCACAGGAAACAACTGAAAAGCGCTAGGAAGAATAAGTGAATTTAGCAGAATGTCTAAATATGTTTTACTCATTTTATGGGGAACAATTGATGATCATACATAAACTAGAAAATGAAATACGACAGAATAAACTTTAATTGGCCATGAAATAACAGAAAATTGAAAAACTTACTTTAACAAAAGAGATCACATGTACATTTGGGAACCAGTAAAATACATAACATTTTTTCTAGGTCAAGATATCATTTCTCTAAAATAGTATATAAATATAATAGAACTTTAACCAAATATTTTTCAGCTGGATGGTTTAGCTCATGTGGAATAGCAAACACTTGGAAATAGCCAGGAGAATTTCAATTCTAGATGTACATATCTATTTAGTTATGTACATGGCTATGTGGAGGCTTTGGCATATAATTTAATCTGCATAGTCAGATAGCTAACAGCGACTAAAAGACTGTGGAATAGCCCATCAGATATGTTAGTAAAACTCCAAAGCAGATTTAAGAAGAAACGGTGGGCTTTTGGTAAGGGTGCATTTTAAATAGGGGTGAAGAAGAAATAACATGTAATTGGTAGCGTATGGACAAATGGGTATATATTACAGAAAACTATAATAAAACTGGAGCTTTTCCTCACTCATTATATAAATGTGGTTAGATGGCCTATTATTTTAAATATATGAAGTTGAAAATGAAAACCTGAAGGGGTATTTATATACATGGCACATGGGGAGATCGTTTCTAAGCATGGTACAGAAACCTGGGCCCGTATGGGGTCATGATTTTTATTGACATGTGCACCCAGAAAACAGATGCAAACTGGGAACATTGTCAACAAAGAGATAATTTTGCCAATATACCTAGAGATCTCATTGATGACCTTTAAAATCAACAACCCAGACTAGATAACAAGAAACAACTCAAAGCAGGAGAAATGAAAATAATCAGCAAAGTGAAGGCTCTCAGCCTCATACTAAAAGACTGGCCAGAATATGACACAATGAGGCATTATTGGGAATCTTCCAAATACCATCGCTGGCACGGCAATGCCTCCTTAAATGTATTATCTGAACATCATGAGAATATGTTTTTGGACTCCAGGTAACTCAACCATTTCCTTCCGGAAAGCCAAAAAGGAAAGACTTATTACTCTCTTTAAACATTCTGACCTATAATATGTTTAATAAAAGTTATCTATGAACTGTGGTTATTAACTTGCTTCTGTTTAATCTCATTTTTTATTTTAAATTACAGCCAAATGAACAGCCTCCAAGGTTCTTAACATTTGCTAAAAAGGAGGAAATATTCTACTATATACCTTCATTTTATGAAGATTTATGATGTGAATAAAATAAGAAATATATTTATGTAGGTTCTAAAAACAATACTATGAAATTTATTAGATTTTATCAACATTTCCATTTGTTGAAAATTAATTGCTTTCAATTTTCTTGTAGAAAAATTCAATTTTCTTGATTTTATGCAGAGATATAATTAAATCTATGCTACTCATAGCTCTAAAGAAGATTCTACATTTGTATGGAAAATTTTGACTGCCTATTTGAGCCCAATGGACCTAAGTTTATCTTGTTAGTGTAAGCCTGGAATTAGTTTTTCTAATTTCAGCCCATGTAACAGTAATATATTAAGTTACCAAAATGTGGACAGGATTTACTGAATCATTCTGCCCATGTAACAGTAATATATTAAGTTACTAAAATGTGGACAGGAATTACTGAATCATTCAGAGTCACTTGGCTTTAGTCCACTCATGTTGATCTCATGCCACTATCCACTTCCTTGGTAATCAATAAATGCATAAAATTAATCAGCACAATACATCACAGGAGGCTTGGCACTTACATCTCAGTGGTTAGGGCTCCAGCCACATGCACTGGGACTGGTGGGTTTGAACCCACCTTGGGCCTGCTAAACAACAACAACAACAACAACAAATAGCCAGGCACGGTGGCAGGCACCTATAGTCCCAGCTACTTGGG